CAATAACCCGGATCTGAATGACTGAAATAATGGGGGAAAGCTTTAGGTGGACCATAGTGGCTTTGTCAGGCTGTTGTGCAGCCGCATCTGGTAAATTAGTTTGTGTAGTAGCCTGTACCCAGAGTGCACTGTGGTGTGGTGACATTGAGAGAGAACCATTGCTGCTGCCAACTTTGTAATCTGTTGGATAGGAAACCCTCATTATCAAATTGTCACTGGGCAGAAGAACAGTATTCCCTGATGGCAATTCTTTAGCAGGACGCACCCTGCCACATTGCAAAATGGTTCAAGAATAGTTTGAGGAACACAGCAATGAGTTTGAGATGTTGTTTTGGCCTCCAAATTGTCCAATTCTCCAGATCTCAATCTAATTGAGCATCTGTGGGGTGTGCTGGAAAAACAGTATTTGTAAGCCATTAGATATGCTTTCAAATGACCAAAAAAAACTGACTGGAACTGGTTCTAAATATTATACATTTGCTACAATGGTTTTGATAAACTTACTATTAGTACCTCTTGAAGCAATCAGTAGTAACTCCAAGGGTACATATACCACTGAAAGGGTGATGTATAAAGTATCCTTATTAGTGTATCCTCTGTTTACTTCTTGTATCAACTCTCTTTCATTGCACCTAAGAGATAGATCTAATAACACAGTAGAGTTGTCTTATTGTTATTGTTCAGCATCTCTGAAGTGTGATTGTGTTCAGGAAAAAGTAGAACTAAACCTGGCCATACACTGCGAATTTTGGCTAGTTCATGATGAACCAGCCGAAATTTGCACAGAGGGTGCTCCTGTCGACACCTTCCATCCATCATCTTTCATTCAGGAAATCGCAGTAGCAAGATGGAAAATTTTCTTTACACCAACCTCTGTAAATCAGTCCAACAATGCGCTTTAAAAGGTAGCTGTCAATAGCCTGACTCAGCAATCCCTACTTTTCACAGCAAAAATCGTCATAAAACGTCAAAACATGATGTGTAGAAATAGCTGTTACCAGCTTGTTATGAATCATTCCTTCATCTGGCGCTCACAGTGGTCTTTTCATAACCAGTACACGAACCAAGGCAGACCATAGAAATAACAATTGTCCCTGCATTTAGCTCAATGACATCAAAAAATGACATAAAAGACCCTCTGAGGACCATTTAATGGACACCTCTGACAACCAATATGAAGCACCCACATAAAAAAAAAAAGTCACGTAGGCGCTGAAAGAAGGACCCTCCAACACTACAAGCATGAAGAAAGAAGACTTGGGTCCCAGCCTGTCGTGTGACCATAGTTTCAGGTAAGTGATTGGGTCTTTTATTGAAAATGTTTAAAAATAAAATCTGTTAGTTAAGGGGGGTAGATTGGGAAAGAATTATGTTTTTCGTTTAATGCCTGGAGATCAGCTTTAATGGCTGATGTTGGATTTCATTAGACCACTAGAAGTTTTTCAAGAGTGGGTGCAATTTCTCTAAATACCCCCAAAACAAGAAGAGGGGGGAAACATATAACATTTACAAATATATAATTAATATATTCAAACAGAAAATATCTGCTGTAATTATATTGAAGAGCATAACTGACAGCTAAATAGAGGGGGTTGAATAAAGGTTAATGAATACTTTGTAGCTATATTATCAAACAAGTACATTAATCTACATTAAATGAATTAACCTCTTCAGCTTTAGAAAGTGACACAAATTGGAAGTTGAAATGAA